AACTCAAAATCGTGAACTTTGTGAAAGTGCTTTTAGTTAGCATGGTGTTGCAAACCCCTGGCCTCACCACGGGCCAGAGCGAGAATTTGTGTGATCTGTGACGTGATGCAGCCCTTCCTGCTCACTAGTCACTGTAATGACTGATGTACTGTGATGTAAAGCAAATAAGTACATGTTGTGCTGCAGACATTTCGCTGCAGAAATGTTCCAATGTGATCTGCAAGCAGAGTTAACCAGTAAATAGTGTTTGTCCTAACAATCTGGAAGTTGAGAGCAATATTTCTATTCACAAGCCTGCTTGTTTACAATATAATAAGGCCACAACACGTTACCGGAAGTTTTGTTGCCTCGTTCTGAATCTCAGAACTTAGCACTTCACATACCTGGAAATTTTGTCTATTTTGGGATGTAAATTGGAGGTTTTACAAGGTACATTTTACTTTTACTGTGGTTTGAAATGCACTTAGCAATGCTGATTCTTTCAAACACGGAAATATAAAAATAGTGTCACAGTTCCTCTTTAAGGAGCTGAGATTTGACACAGGGAACCTGCTCGTTCAGTGAGGTACTGGGAAGGGCTGAGCCAGAGGACACCCACACTGACGTGAGACTGGGGGATCCCCTCACGGGCCTGCCCCGGCTGTGTGGGTGCACTGGCCTGGCTCTGCCAGGGGGCGCCCCCTCTCACCCTGTCCTTCAGCTTCTTGACCTCGCTGGGCGTGAGGCAGTCGGCCTTGGCGATGAGGGGGACCACGTTGACCTTCTCGTGCAGGGCTCTCATGAACTCCACGTCCACTGGCCGCAGCCTGGGCACCAAGCACAGGGAGAGACAGACGTGTGTCTTTCATCCCAGCAGCTACGATTTACACAGACAGAAGCCTCCAAAACATACAAACAAGACTTCTGTACATTACATAACAGACATCTACCTACACATACAGTATTCATTACACAGCACTCCTACAGCACCCTGTAAATTTACACTAGAGCCCTATAATTACACTCAACCTCTTTACTGCTGCTCATAATCCACCGACAGCACTTGTCCATAGACCAGTACTCCCATCCTGTGAGCTCATTTAGTGGCTGAGCATGAGAGGAATTGCTCATTTTGTTTAAATCTACACTGAGGGGCTCTATAACACCACAGAGGTGCAGGAGGGAGGAGGGGCTGGCTCTGTCAGCAGATCACAAGTCTCGGGGTCACTGGGAGTCACTGGGAGAGAGAATCATCTTTCCCATCTCTGATCACCAGGGAAGGGTTTTATTAATAAGTAATCATAAACTGTATCTTATGATGACTCAAAAGATGTCTGATATTCACCATAAAAGCTGTTGGACTGCCAGTTGAAATAATCAACGCTTACTGGACAATTTGGAAACGGATTTACATCCTACTGTTATCCCAATCCAACTATCTAAAATATTATAAGGAACACAGCGGCGATACGAAGGAGAGGGCGAGCCAGGTTCAGGGGGAGGTGCTGAACCAGGCGGTGGCAGTGTGAAGGGTCAAAGGTCAGAGGTGAGGCTCACCCATGTCCGAAGGGCGGGATGAAGTAGAGGCAGCAGTGGACACGGTTGTCCTGGATGTTCTTCCTGTTGAGGCCGCTCTCGTCCCGGAAGTACTGCTCGAACTGCTGGTCGATGTAATCCGTGATGGGCTTCCAGCTGAGGGCCAAGTCAAAACACAACGGCCTTGTCAAACCC